CCATTGTAAGATTTGAACCCACAACCTTCTGACCCGAGGCAAAGGTGCTGCCAACTGAGCCATTTGTAGATATTTTGCATAGGTAGTTATTTTATATGAAGGAAATTTGATGAGTGGTTAATGCACTAAGTGCAAAGGAATATTTTTTGTGAAAGGGGGAGTCTCCCAATTAGTACACTTGGGGAAAGGAATGAATAGCTATTTAAACGTCAGTATAGAAGCACTGACAAGAATCATATTTAACTTGAAAACATAAGATGGATCTGTACATTAGGCATTCACAATCTTCTAAAGTCAAGTTATGTAATACCTTGCCCTTGAAAAATGCTTTGTACCAAAATCAGAGTCACAGATTGGAAACAATCCAAAGAATTTGGATTTTAAGCTCTTGCTAAAGTTACGGGAACCTTTGCCCTTGTTATAAACAAGAAAACAAAAGGCCATATATGGAAATAGACCAAAGCTCAGTATCATTTCCCAGTACAGTTCCTAAAATGTGCATGCAGGTCTCCATGCCTCTGTAAATACGATGTTGCTGTGTTTATATTTCAGTGCTACTGAAACGAGGCCTGTCATCAGCGGCTGAAACTTTCATGTGAATCCAGCAAAAAAAACTCTCCTGGATTCACTGTACTCGTCTTATCAGACTGAGTAATGTATTTTTCTCCTGATTATTTCCTTCACATATATTGTGCACACAAAATAATTTGTCAAAAATAGTACTAGAAAATTTTAAGGATGTTAATTATAGTTTTTCTAACTCATTTTTAAAAAGGTAGGGCTTCCGCTTTAATTTATTCACAATCTTACTGGAGGTTGAAACCACCATATACTTGTAATCAAAGTATAATCTCATCCTGTGTTTAAAAGCACAAATCTTGTGGGAGTCAGCGGAAGGGCGCTGGTGGGTACATGTAGCTGGTGCTTCTCAGTATTAATGGTATCAGTTTCTTTCAACAGTACTTGATGATTACATTTGTAATTTAATGTATTTTAATGATGGCACTTAAGGCTCTGGAAAATGCACCGGCATGTATTTCCTTAAGCATTTTTTAATCACAATTTCTTTCTGCCTATGTAAAGCCTCTTGTACTGTGATTTTCTACTCTATGTGGGGAAATTTAGAAGTGGGCTGCACAGCCTTAAAGAAGTAATAATTATTTGAATAAAGAAAGATCTAGAGATTCTAACAAATGAAGGATGGTGTTTTGGAATTTTATGAGTGAATTATGAAAATTGAACCACAACTTTGTCCTCCAAAGAAATAAGCAGTTGTGATTCTAAGACTGATATTTTCTGAAAGTCGCAACTTTAAGTCCAGTATTCTCAGTGGGAATATACTAATCATTGATAACTGGAAATTTCAGCTGCAGCAAGCTGAAGTTTAGGATCGGCCCTATAGTCCCACGCTGCTGTGGTATGCAGTTTAAGAACAAAACCAACAAAAGAAAGGGGATAAAGGTCAACTCATTCAGCAGTTCGAAGCTGGGTGTGAGGATCTGCCTGTAATAATGTACAAAAGATTCCTGCTGGATTCCTGCTGAAAGGTCATCTGCAGGAGTGCAAGACAGAGACTTGGAATTTGTTCTGGGTAGCACTTGTACTGAAAGTTGTGGTACTTGAGATTGAACTCAGTGTTCCATCAACAAGCTGCTGGTGTAATTACAGCCATATCTCAATGCCAGGCTGCAGATGTAACTCTGCCTCCTTCACCTTTTTGCACTGTCATTAAAGATGATGCTTTCAATGACTTATTTACCATTCTGAGTGCGACTTCGGGACAGTGGGGCTGTAGTGCAAACAGATATTGGTCACAACATTTTAATTTCATGCCTTCGCTATCAACAAATGAATCCATTTTAAGTAAACCTTTGATCATGCTGATGAGTGCAGTCCTGTGCCTGAAATAGAATGAACAGTGTGGAATGACTCTGAGAATTGATGCTTATGGAGTGGGTAAACACTAATCCCCAGCTGGTAAAAGCTTTCAGCAAAAAATGCTATGGTAAAATGGTCCTGTGTGATATATAGAGGATGCTTCGTAGGTTACCACGGAGCCCTACGCTAATCCTGCAGTGTGCTATGAAGTCCATCCTTGCATGTAAGCCTAGCGTAGCGACCAACCTGAATAAAGAACAATTCCTGAATCTCCTTATGACCTATGTACATTTGAAATGAGCAATATTTGGGGCCAAGATCTATGCAGATGTAAGGTAACAGTGCTGGAAATAAGGAGTCTTGTGTTTCTATTTGCTTACCTACACATCTGGCCTCCTCATTAACTTAATGATTTGGGTTATTAAAAAAACTGCAGAAACATGGTTTTGAGTTGCCTTGTATGAAGCGTTACTGCAAAAAAACAAGTGCCTTTTACGACCCTTACGCCATCTCCATGTCTTAAAAAGGGCAAGAGTTGTACAGTTTGGTGACATGTTTCTGCATTCTCGAGACATGAAAAATGTGACCACAGTGCGGAGTATTGCAAATGCATAAAGCAGCCTGTGTTTAACCAGGATCTTAACTACTAAACTCTAGGCGGATATACAAGCATGTGTTCAAATGTATTTTAGATTATGAAGAGAAATGGGTTTGGAATATATGTCCTTTGACATTTATTTTTAGGAAAGCATCAGTTTGTGTATCATTGCTGCATAGTTAGTAATGTGATTTATTGATGGATCCAGGTTTGTCCCGTGACTTTCACTTGATAAGCTAATCTGTCATGCCTGAGGCATAAGGTAGTGGTGCCAGACAGAACCTAGTGAACATCTGTTGACACTGTCAAGATAAAGAATATGATTTAATGGTGGTTCTTTCATATATGGCGTTCGCCCACAAAATACATCTTATAGTATATTCTGTGAAGTGCTTTGGGATGTCCTTCCGACATGAAAGGCTTTACCAAACATAAGAATTATTAATATAATTCTATATTTGCTGTTTCTAATCATAGTATTTTTCAAATGTAAGTGAAGAATGGACTCTGATGTAGATAAGGAACAACAACAACAAGATTCCATTTATTGAGCGCCTTTCACGTCGGGAGGACGTCCTAAGGCGCTGTACAGTTGGGTCAGGACCCGAGCAGTGGGGAAATGGTCAGGGTGAGGGGAGGGAAGGGAGGGAGCGAGGAGGGAGTAGAGAGTCGAGAGGGGAGCTGAAGGCACGGTCAAAGAGAAAAGGTAGGATGATTTAGTTATAAATGTGTGCATCATACCTCCTCTACATGGATGGAATTTAGCGAATTATTAAATAGCTTTTACAAAAATTTCAAAAGCATTTCATAATTGAGGAATGCTTAAATATTATATGTAAAATTGTTATTATACAAATAATGGTGGTATTATTGAGGAGTTATAACATTCGATAAAATTTAAGAAAATCAAAGAGACATCCTTTGTGCCATTAACTTAGCAACAAAGAATACCTATTATCACTGGTCTAGTAACAGGGAATGACCTATTATGACATTATTGGCTTAGCACAAACACGCATAGATTTCCCACACCACTTCCAACTGGTGCTGCATTGTACACAGGCAATAATACTATGTAAATAGCACAATGTGCTACACAACTGGGTTAAAATACCCTTTACATTTGATGTATCACTTTGGACCCCTGTGGGTTTTTTTTAAGGATAAAAGGAGATCCTTAACAAACTCAAGAGTTGTATTATCTGTGATTTATTAAAGTGCATTCCATTATGTCAAACCAAAAGCAGCATCATGTTAAACTATCCTATGCAACGTACAATTTCAGAATAAAATTCTTTGAGCTTTGTTTTTAAATGAGCATTGTCACCCAGGAAGGAGCTAGAAAAGCATTTTGGGCTTCTCAGTCGACCTAAATTTTTTTAATTTTACTCATGGTTTATTTGGCCAGTTTCTAAGTTTTGTCTAAACCAAACCAGATTTACTTAGATTAAAAATGCTTTTTTATAATCTATCCCAACTGTAAAATGAAGCTATTGCACCATTCAATGTGACCCATTCACTGAGAAATGCCCATGTTGTTTTTTATTTTTATTTTACATAACAATATTTCCATCTGATCATTGCTGAAAGGGACTTGATGGGCCATTTTAAATAAGTAAATGGTCAGAACAATGAACTAATTGGTTATATTGAAAATCCCCATTACATCTCAATATCTGTATATTGATCGTAAGGGTATTGATTGATTGCATTATCTCTAAATAAAGATTTTAACTACAATGTAGTAGTTCTAAAGTTAGTTATGCATATTTTACGTTTTCATTAAATAAATTCTAAACTTATTCAAGAAACAACATCACTGAGTTACATTAGTTCCAATTCTGTATCCCCAAACATAGATTGCGGATTATCCTTGAACTCCTGTGGGGCCATTGAATTGAGCAACTCCTGATTATCCAGCAATTCAAAGCCGTATAATTATCAGAAGCAGTGTGCAAGTAATAATCTGGCTTCATCTACTGGGAGTTTCTGTTCTACAGTCTGGCACTAGATGCTTTCTTCACTGGATATGCATCAGTCCAAAAAATGATACTGGCTGCTTTCGTTCATTTAATAAAACCAAATCTCAAAATCAATGACTTCAAATTTGGTAAAAGGATATTATGTGTTCAGAAGATACTATTAGTTACCTGATTTTTTTAAACTTTCAATTTACCTAGCTTGATTAAACATGACAATTCTTCAACCACTTTATAAACTAGTTACCCTATATTTTCTATTCTCTATCACTGTATATATTGATGTATACAAATATATTATATATACTGATGATTTGCTATTTCAAAGTAAGTTTCTTCATCCACATTTCCTTTATTGTCAAAGACATATTATGTTTGAGTAACTCAGTTGCATTGAAGAAATATGTTTGAATTGTTCTTTAAATGTTTGCAATAGACCTACACCAATCATGAAATAGTTATTTGTCATTAGATGTGTTGGAAATTGTGTGAATTATTAGATGTATTTGAAATTGTGACTGATATTTTATTTTTTTATTTTTTAGCTACAGTCTTACGGAACTCTAAATCTATCCCAAGTCCAGTTGAACTCCTTGCTGAATGATTGCATCCGGTGGCAAAATTTATTGCAAGTGTCTGAAACTCCAGAATTGGAGGAGAATGTTTCCTACACTTCTGGTTTCCTATGTTCTCCCGGAACATCACCATCTTCGTCTGTGTACAATAAACCAAAGTTATCAGAATCTACTCTTTCTCAGCTTTTGGAGGATGCACACAGTCCAAGGCTATCTACAGTTCATAGTGCAGTGGAAGGGGAGAATGGAAAAATGGGGGAAGAAAAGGAAGACCCCAGTTACTACCTCAGCAAAGCTCTGGCTAACAGCAGCAGTCTGAGAGAGAGATTCATGGCAATTTCATCAGCAGATTATGATGGAAGAGAGATGGAGGAGAAGCAGATGTCTTGTGATAATGAAGAGTCCTACTTGACCAGGGCACTTGGGATTAAACAAGTGAAGAAACCATCTTTCCTGAATGACCAAAACTATTGCAGTGACACTGATCAGGAGCCAACAACAGATTCCAACATTGCCGTCATTCCACAGCCACTGCACAGAGGTACTATAATACCCCTTTGTCACTAAGAATTGCATTTTAGTTAAACTCTTTGATTAAAAGTAATGTTTCCAAAAATAAACATCCAAAGATGGGATGTTGTTGCTCCCAACCCATCCTTTAACAAAATTAAATGAGATTTCACAAATTTAAAACCAATAATGATAACAATTCTTGCATTTGATATAACATCTTATCACTGTAAATGTTATTGAAAATATTTTTGATTTAAAAAAATAAATGTCTGGTATTTGGGAGAAGAAAAAAATAATCAAAATTGTCATGGAGGAGACTTAATGCTTAAAGCACTGATTGAGCTGTTGTTTAGGTTCAGTCTAGCATATACTTTTGTGCTAAAGGTCATTAAGTCTTACTCTTGGCACAAGAGTCATCTTGTCTTAGTAGCCAGCTCCAAATAAATGTGCAAATTGAAGCGGTAGTAGTTTGCCTATGCTTTCTCACATTGGTAAAATATCATTCTATCAACTTTTCAAGTGATCCTACCAGTGATAAAGAGCACACCGATCGTGTTGAACCTCTATTGTGGTCAATAATCTTTAGTGCAGAAGAAAAATTAACATTGTTAACTAACAGATTCAGTGTTAAACTAACAAATTCTTTTGATGTAATTTTGATCCAGACAGTTGAAATGTAACATTAATTTTTTGCAGATACTGAGAATGCAGCCGACAATGATGAAGAAATAAAGGAAGTGAGAGAGTGAGTGAGTCGGAGGTAATCCGAGATGGAGTTCCAGAGGGTGGAGGCAATAGAGAAGCCATACCCAACATTAACATAGAACCATATAAATAACAATAATCCTTTTTGATATAGCGCCTTATCACTTTGTTGAGATGTCTCAAAGCTCTTCACAGAATATATTGTTGATTGTATTTTTGTGGGAGAAATGGATTTGTCATCTATGTGTTCATGCAGGCTTTTTTTTTCCAGGATTTATAGTGAAGTTTAAAAATATTTCATCCCAAGGAAATATTCCTTTTCCTTTCTTTTCTTTTTTTCATTTTATCTAAAACACGTTGAATCTTCCAGGTTTCTGGAGATTAAAAATCAGATTGAAACCTTTTTGCTTAGTTATTTGTGTAATACAGTATGTACATCATAGACTAGGCTTGATCTTTGGAATATCTCAAATAATTAACACTGGCTACAGCAAATCCTGTGTTTTGATGATCTGGTTTTACTTGTTTTTTTACTTTTTCCAATGACTCAAAGAAAAAGTGCACAACTTAAATAAAAATAAAATCTAACTCCACTTGTCTTTGAATGGTTAGGTTCTGACAAAGAACCTTTTATTGGATTATTTACAATGTTATTGTTTTGGACAACTTTGACTTCTACTTTAGTCTGTATAATGTTTAATTGATTCATACAGTTCTATTATTACTGGAGTGACTTAATTGACGTTAACCCTGTACCCTGACTCCAATCTAAAGAAAAAAGGAATCCACTAAAGTGGAGCAGGCCATATACAAAAGCACTACAAAAGGGATTTATATTACTTGTTAAAACATTAAAGTGGTTTGGTTGTAAAATTCTGAATGCTTTAGTTATGTAGCACTATGAGTTTCTACCTCTGATAAGCTTTATACGTAAGATATAAGTTGGTCCCTTCATCCTAAAATGGTAGTGTTTGATTTCTTAGACCAATTAATTGTCAATGGTGGGTAACACAGTGCTCTTGTATGTTACTGTATATGCCTCGAGATGAAGGTCATCAGGTTTACTCAGGTCTGAAGCCAGAATTTAGGAGATACTAATCTTTAAACCTCACTTAAGTGATGAGCATCTTTTGCTTGAAAGCAGATTTTAAACCTTACTACCTGACGTGAACTATTTAACTGGATCATTGGATAGAATTGTTGTAAATAGTGATATGTGTTACTTATGAAATACATATCGCCAAGTGTTTATAATAAATTGTACTTTTGTATGTAATTAATGCTTGGAAGTATACTATGAGGGCTCCTGTACAAAACATAGATATGCAAAAAGTGAGGGGTTGTACTTAATGAGAATGAATGCTAGGGAGTTCAGATTGATTGTGCTAGATTATAGTGGGTAGCACTGATGGAGAAAGGAGAGAAATGGTCTGTGCTCTCCATCTGTAGCAGTTTTGCTGCATTAGTTGGTATGATGCAGAATAGGAGGGATTGCCCAGTTATCCCACCAACATGGATCTGGTTGTTCTGTGCAAACAATATGGAATTATATTAAATTAAAACAAATATATATTCTTTGTGAGTAGACACCAAACCAAAGTCGAACTTTGATCCATCCACCTTGTGGATTCTCATAATGCACATCATTTTAATATTGTGTCTTGTCATTTATGAACAATGTGTGTGCCTTTGTTTTGTATTAGATTTATAGTTGGGGGCAGTAAATCTTGAAATATCAGCGTGAACCTACCTTACAAAAGGGGAGAACATGACAGGGCATATTCTTCATAAATCTAGAGAGATATAAGTTCACTACCTTTCTGTAAAAAAANTATTTTTCATCAGAGAGCAGTAGGACATGAGCCCAATCACATAGGGTGGCAGGAAATATTGGAGGTGGGTCTAGTCATGCCTCACGCACACCTCCTATTGAGAGCTCAAGAGTATCTTCGGATTTAATATGGAGGAGGGAATTTTGAGGTTCAATCTGAAGGGGATGAAACAACTAAAGAAAATGACAGATGGGGCACAGTAAAATCTACTGGGGTCTAGATTTACTCTCTCTAACATTTCTGAGTGTCCAGAATTTAGCAAATTCTGTAATTCAATCTTAACTTTAACATCGAGGTTGAATCCATATTTAAAAATTCTGAAAGCTATATAGAGCACATCTTGTTTAAGGTGGAATTTCTCCCACATACTTTTCAAATTGTTATATTTAAAGCTTTAACCAAAAAAAAGGTTTTACTCTTTAGTCTCCCACATTTGCCAACAACCACATTATGGTTTTATGGCAGCAGATGAAAAATGTATTTTTAATTTGAAAAATGGCATTTGGATTTTACACCAAATATTGGTGTAACAGAAATCAGAAAGTTACTCACAATGAGTTGGTGATTAGTTTATAAAGTGTATCTAGTCTTAAAGAAATTGAATGTTTGTCAGTTAGTACAACAGGAATGCAATCTATAGGCAAGATGGTACAGGTTTCTATACATTTTATTGTCATTTCATGTTTGTTACAAATGGCACTGCGTGACTTGAACAGCTCTAAATGTAAAATGGTTAGAAAGGTGTACAAAAAGCATTGCTAATGATAAACAGTATGTAAAAAAGCAACATCAATTCAGTGTGCAAAAGTTTCATACAGACAGAAACACTAACTCTCTAGGTAGCATTTCCTGATAAATTACTTAAATAGGGTATCTACAAAATAATGAGATTTGTTTACCTGTTTAATGTTACAAGTTGCAACTGAGAAACAATAATTTATTTAAAAATGAGCAGTGACATACAAGAAGCTAGGAAGAAAAAGAAACACATGGCAGCATAGAACAAAAATGTTTTCAATGCCATTTCCTTATTGGGGATACATTTTTCTTCTGCAAAAATAAATTTTTGACTATGTACAAAGCCTTTTTATACTACAGTAGCATCAGGGTACTTTAGACACGTGACGAAGGTTTTCTGCTGCTTGATCCAAAGGTTCTTCTTGATCACACAACAATGAGGTAATATTTGTACATAGAAGTTTCACCTTTTTCACTTTTTGGAAAAGATATAGATCCACTTGTACCAAGGGCACCTGTGGTTGTAGGAAACAGTTTCTAGGCTCTTCTGAAGGTTAACTGAAACTGGCAGAGTGAAGCTTTCTGCAGGGCTGAAACACAGTAGCCTGAATAACATATTGATTACAGACTCACCCACATTCAGCTTCATCTTGAAGTGCCCTTTGCAAACAAGGACACAAATTTCAAATGAAAAAACACCTAAAACTACCTAGCATCAATATAGAACAAATGTTAATAAATAATCACTCTATTTACAATCTTACAATGCACACAAAGACTAGTGATAAAAACTCTCATGGATAGTCTGCCGCTTTTCTTTTTAAAGTGTCCTTCAATCCATAAATCATCCAGGATAAGAAAATAAATAATTTCTGATATTAAAATTGTTTTATCTACAGTCAGAACAATTTGCCATTTTGGCAAATGTTAGTTAAAGAGAAGGGCATTCTTTCAATGGTCTGCTTGTGCCTTTTTAATCGCAGTATTTAAAGCAAATACCCTTTCCAAAGAGGTCAACACAGATGCTGAACAGGGTGGTAGTGCTCTCTGGATTCTCCTCCATTCTTGGTACGATCAAACTAGCTTCATTTGGAATAAAAGCACGAGCTAACTGTGCTATACTATTGGAACTGTGATTGGACCTGATCTTCCTCATGTTTTGGGTCTGGCCTAGTTTGGTCAGCACATATCCAGAGCACTGCCTGGTACGGGGTTGGGGGGGATTGGTCATAAGAGTGCTTATAGCAGGGAATTGGGTTTTCACTCTGTATGGAATCAACTAGCTATAATGCTGCTACTATATGCACTTTTGGTGAGTAGTATTAATTTATTGACAAAAAAACAAAATATACGGTTCAGTACAAAAAGGTAACAGTTCTTTCATTTTTTCCAGATGTCTTTCAGTTACAAGAAAAATTCTCATAATCCTTTCCCTACCCTTTTGTAAATTCTATTTATTCTGTTCACTTCAAACTTCAGTTATCTTTTCACCATATAAGTCCCTTGTGTTTTTATATAACAAAAAAAATGTGTCCACAGCAGAAATGGTCTTGTTAACCGTGTGCAATCTCCATCCATGGGAATTCCAGCTAAGGAAATGTAGGACTGAAATGACAAATAACTTGCTGAGTAAAGCTCTTTCCAGATTCAACAGAGGTGTATTTATGTGGTGTCTGGGAATTCCATTCTTCAGAAGCAAAATTGAGCGACTACAGTACATTAAGACGTGGTGAGTCATTTTTCTTTGCAGACTTATTGCTTATTTCTGTCGATAGCATCCAGTGAGTTTTATCAGCTGATACAGGTCATGTGCTTGAATCCCACAAACAAAAGGGGAAAAAAGGAAGAAGAAAACAATGGTCCAGGATTGGTTTCAAGAAAATAACAAGGTGCAAGACCAGCTTTCTTTCGAATATTTCCACTTCCAGTAACGCTGACTTTATGAATCTGTCAAGAGAAGAAAAAATAGTCAGGGCACTTCAGCACAAACAGCACATTGGGTCTTAATACACTGTCATGATTCTTTAAAATTAAAGCAGCTTTCTTATATTTACAGAATTATATTTACTTAAAATAAGGTTACATTTCGTAAATGATAAATTCTGAAAATGTTCTCTCGTACCATCAGCTTAACCTATACTCTGCTGAATTAACCAGAACCAAAGTTCATTCCGTGATGCACATTAAACGTTAATATAATATTAAATTTGGCCATGAAATTGGATTAGGCTGTGCTGTTAAATAATAGTAAGAATGCAATAATTACCTCTACATTCATACTTGAGATCAGAGAAGTAAACCATTTCTTGGGAGAAGACAAAGAGTCCCAATCGTCCACCAGCATACGTGTTGTCATAGATAGCCCCAGAGTCTGCCATGATTTTCTTTGACTCATACATTACAACTCTGAGAAATAAGAGTATCACAACATTAGAATCATTAAAAAATATATAAATTTATTCTGACAGATCTTGCTTGAGCTTGTCTGGAATGATTGCTCTGAAGAAGTGGAGGGATAGTCCATGAAATGATTACCTAATGAATCCAGTTTTGGGTCTGTGTGTGAGCTGCCATCTGTAAGCAGCCTTGTCCTTCCATCCAATGTTACGAGGGTCATGCCATAAAGTGCGGACCTAGCAGATAAAGAAACTTAATTCAGCACTTGGTTCTCAAATTAAAAATAACAAAAGAGAAAGGTCTTTTCATACAGATACGATTCAGGTATTGTCACTCCTCTGGTAGTCGTTTGAGTTACTGGTCCACCCTGAGTTAGTTTATCTCAACCTGGGCCACAGTTGGTTGCTACAGTTAACCTCAACACCTCTTGAGTTAATGAGCGAGATTCACTGGGATTCTACTACTGATTGCTGCTCAGTGCCCTCTTCTGGAAAATGCACAGTGTATAGGAACAGGATGGAAGAATGAAAAATTACTACCATGGCTAAGTATCAGAGGGTGCCTGTGGAACTGTATGCCACAAAGGGTTGTGCCTTCAGTACACAAAAAAGGTTATTTGAGAGCATTATCTGTATTATGTAATATAGAGGTTTTACATATCTTGAAATGAAGGTCTGACCCTCTGATCACAAAATGTCAATTTAATTGGCTTCATGCTCTCAGGATGAACACCCTGACATTGCATCGTTAGATAAAGCTTTTATCTTGCCAGGTAAATATAATTTATTTTGTACTTAATTATATATTTCTAATAGACAATATTCTTATTTTTCAACATTTTAACTTTAGTTAAAAAATTATTCCTGCTTTGGATTTAGAAACATTATCTTTTGTAACAATTATTTCTGCAATACTGTAAGCTGCACCTTTTACACCTATACGGAGCCAATGTATTTTGTACCAGTACTGTATTTAGTTTTACATGGTAGATTCTCTTACCTGTCCACTTGTATTCCCAGTGTGCCACAGAGCATTACGCAAGTGTTCTCCTGGACCAGTTGTAGAGTTCACCACCTTGATGGAAAGTCCAGCATAGCCCTGTGCTTTGGTTGGTGTTTCATGCCAATATGTTTGTGTGATCTGTTTCCACATGACCACGTAGAAACGACTGCTGGACTGGTATCCAAACACAAATCCAGCATAGTCATCATCTCTTTCAGTATTAATGAAGAAAGTGCCACTGAAGTCCACGGAATTGAATTCATCAAATCCTACAAATAAAGGCAAAAGGTATTAAGTGATTGTTTCAATGGCCTATTATCCCTAGACTTCTGTTCAAGAGGGTAATTTTAAGATAATATATTTTATTCATGTTGCAGGCCAGATACATTAATGATGTACACAAACAACTGGCAGTCCATCCTTGGAACTACATATTGTCAAAGGTGTCTCATATTGGAAATGTCTTGCCCTTGCTATCATAGAGCATAGTCTCACTGTGCCTTGGTATAATTATTGACAATTCTTTTGTTTTGGGAGAAGAATTGTATCTTGCTTCAATTTAGTATAGGTTTAATTTTGTCATAAGGACATATATTACTGAAAAATATCACTCTGCTGTAAATAGACAGTCAAATTTGAACCTGGAGAATTCAGATAGTCGTTGATTAACAAATTGATCAGGATAAGAATGAAGTGTATATAACTTTTTCTGAACTTTAACTCTGATCCAATTGTGTACTTTGACGTGGCAATAAACTGACAGATGGAATTTACTATCTTTTGCATATTTTTGCTAATTTGTTCATCTATAAAAACAAAGTTATTGCACTTTACAAGAAATCTTGTGCACTGCTTTGAGACATTTTGACAGTTGTGATAAGATGCTATATCGAATGAAAGGATTATTATTATGTACTGCTCACTTACCTACAGCAATACCAGGATCACAGTTAACAGTCTGCACCAACTCTTTGCCCTGGTGTCGAACCACCCAGTTGGGATCAATTTGGGATGTTCCCTTTGGATCCAATGGGACCATCTGGAATTTGCGGAAGTCAGTCTCACTGATGTCAAAGTTTTCAGGGCAGACATCATATATATCCAGTATGTTGTCTCCATCAAAATCGTCCTTGCAAGCATCACCTCTCCCATCACCTGAACAAAGAAAGACAGTTTGTCTATGACAAAGAACAAAATTCTCAAAGCAGAACTGAATATTTTGTTATTTGGTACTAGATAATGAATTGCACTACATTCCCAGATTATGTATGAGATTATACTAAATGTGTAGGGTAGTTGCATGCAATTTTCTTATGGTATCCAATGGCAATACAAATGTAAAATGTTCTTACCATCAGAGTCAAGTTGGTCAGGATTGAATTTCACCCTACAGTTGTCTTTTTCATCAGGGATGCCATCATTGTCGTCATCGTGATCACAGGCATCGCCCTTGCCATCTTTGTCATGGTCCAATTGGTTAGAATTGGGAATGTAGGGACAATTATCTAAATTGTTTTGGTGACCATCCTCGTCAATATCCTGATTGTTATCGCACGTGTCTCCCACAAGATCAGAGTCAGAATCAGCCTGAAATTAGACAGCACAAATAAATTATTTTATTTGCCAATTTGAAATGCACTACAAAATATTACAATTACAGCCTCCTGAATAATTAAAGATGCATATGTTTGGAAATATCAAGGAATTATATGCTAAACATTCCTTGTTGCAAGTTCAGACAAAGTCATATTAATTGGGAACAGAGCAATCACTAAGGGTGCCGTGCTGCTGTGAGGATGTTGGCTCCAATGTGCAGCTGGATGCACGAAATATATTTCACCTCGGGCTGACTTTGGACCAGTAGCTTTTTAAAACTAGCTACAAGCTGGTACCACTTTACTGCCACAGTTACATTGACACAAGGTTTTCTTTTGCCTGTGCCTCATACCACAAATATTCCCAGCATTACAATCATTCCTCAGTAGCTGCAGTAATGCATTTATAAGCATTTGAATTTTAAGCAATGTTAGCTATTAGGAGTTAAGCAATAAATGTCTTGCACTAGAAGATGTTTCAATTTATTCACATCTCTAATGCTGCATTCCAGGCGGCTCTTCAACATCTCCCATTTAATTCTCTTATAACTGTTTATCACAACCTATCCATCATTGACAAAGTAAGATCAAAGGCAATACAATAGTTGTTCTAATAATGAAGTTTTCTATTGATGTCATTGCTAAATTCTATGCAATACAAAACATTAAAGAACCAGTTTCCCTATGATCAGGTAAAAGACATAATTGTTGGTGTGTAAAACCTGCAGGTAATGACCTAAGAAAGATAATGATCATATGGCTAACATTCAACCTTCTCCACACACATATTGTACTTTGTGTCACAAGTGGTTGTATTGTAAACTCGGGTGAGTTGAAAGACTTTTACACATGATTATGCAATATTAATTCTCAAGTTTTTGAATAAACAGGATGTACATGTTAATCCTGTCACAAAGGAGAGGTTGTGTTATTTAAAGAGTAAAGGAACCTAAACAACTAAGATTTATAATTATGTTTTAAAGGAAGTGGACAATTATTTGAACACTAGTTTTCTTTATAGAAACCACTATATCAGGTTACTGAGGTATCTTGACATTATCGAGGTAGAATCTACTAACCATTAGAATTTTGTTTAAAATAGTCACAATTTACTATTCTTTTTTTAAAAAAAGCAGTTAATATCTCCATTTAGCCTAGAGTTAAAGCAATATTTGTGTTCACATTAATTGATATTTTTATTTTTAATTAAAATTAAAAAATAGAAAACCTTACCTGATCTGGATTATGTTCTAGTGGGCAATTGTCGCACTGATCACCAACACCATCTAAATCTGTATCTCTCTGATCAACATTGTACAAGTAGGGACAATTGTCCTTCTCATTGAGAATGCCTGGAAAACAAAAGTATTAATAGTATTTATCTGGAATTTCAGTATAAAGTTGGTTTCTCTAGGTTTTTACCATTTTAAGATAACAGTGAGTGGTCTAATATTTACACATTGTAAAATTACCAGTGCTCCAAAATATGAATTTGCAGTCTTTGAATAAACAGTGTCCTTACCATCCCCATCAATATCTATAGCACATGCATCTCCTTCTCCATTTGAATCAGTGTCTGCCTGATCAGGATTATGATTGTAGGGGCAGTTGTCACAACGATCTCCAACATCATCCCGATCGTAGTCATATTGGCGAGGATTGAACAGGAATGGACAGTTATCCTAATAAATATATGAAATATGTTATGGGATGGTTAGAAGTACACATTTTTAATGACAAAGGATTTATTGCATTTTATGAAAATATGCCATATTTAATTCAGTATAATATTCTTTCATTATTCAACTGCAATTCAGTTGTGGTAATCTAGGCTTTTGGTAACTTACCCTTTCATCTGGAATGCCATCGTTGTCATCATCATTGTCACAGGCATCACCAATTCCATCTTTATCATGGTCTTCTTGACCAGAGTTGGGGAGGAATGGGCAGTTATCCTAAATGTAAAACAAGGGAAGAATGCATTTTAACCATGTATTATAGCCAAAAATGAAACTTCAAGGAAAAAAAATCTTACACACAGATTAAGGAATGTTCTGGTTGACTTCAACCAGCTGTCTAATAAAAAGAAATTGGGTGTTCTTAAGACTAAATCAAAATTAGTCTGTATAACTAATGGTAACAGACATTTTCTGACCAAAATAACCTTTATTTAAACCACATCCTCTGTCTGCCTGTCACAATGTGAATTTATCTTAGCATGGAACTGACAAGATACTTTGGGATCTGATACGTTGCTGCTAAATTCATTATTTCTGGCATATGTTTAGTACTTCTATTTTTTTTATTTATCCTGAGGCTAATACAAATCTAGCCTGAACTGTAAAAGTGCTGACAGTTTCCTATCCTTATTCCAAATAATATACCATAATTCATTTAGGAAACCCATTCACTAATATTGTTACTGGATAGTGAATCTTAAGAGGGCAAAATGTTGAGCAATTCAATATTTGAGGAATGGTAGCTTACCTTTTTGCAGTGGTAAGTAGCATTAGCTACACAGGTAAGATCTTCATTTGGCCAACCATCTAGATCAGTATCTTCGCCACAGATGATGCCATTGCCAGCATAACCAGGCCTACATTCACAACGGAACATTGGATCGCTAAATATACCAAGATAAATACACTTGGCATGCTTGTTGCAATTATGTGTCCTATCTTTGCAGGGATTCTGTGGCTCACAGACCTACATTAAGAACAAAAGAAACTAGTTAGTCTCATTTCAAGCAAATAAATCACTTAATCCAGTTCCCCTCTCTAATATTTCAAATAGCATGTTGCTTTTCTTAACAGATTTATTGAATAGTTACTCCCAACTCAAAACATGCTTCATTGATTGATTGTAAATATAACAGTTTTTTATTTCATCCTAGTGTTGACCGGATAATAATTGAAGCTCACCTGCTTATTGTTTGTTGCATCTTCAATGCCTTTACCAAATGGTTGATTGCCAGTGTATCGTAGCGGACAGGGTTGACAGTGGTAACCTGGCTCTGTGTTTTCACATCGGTGGTCTTCATTGACAATGAAGCAAGTGTCAGGTACTTCTTTGCACTAAAAAAATGTGAAAACTGAATTTAGAATATGAGTTCCATAGTTTTACAGAAATTTGCAGTTTATTTCAAGACCATTTAAAATATGGTCCAAATATTTGGACTCAAATACTGTACTTACCTCATTGATATCTTCACATTTAATGCCATTTCCTCTGTAACCAGAAGGACAGTCACCACATTTCCAGGTGCCATCTGGGAAGCTGGTGCATTTGACGTTAGCAAAGCATGGGTTTGATAGACATCTATCTGTAAGTTAACATTTGCATATGAGTTGCTGAGTTTCAAATATTTGAAATGGCAAAAGATGTAAAATAGATACTAACTTGGCAGAAAATGCTACATTTAATTACAGGTTCTTTGGAACAATTAAAAAAAAACTTACCAATTGGGCACTTTAATTTACTGCATGGTTGAGTTTCACGAGTGTTGCCCACACATTTTTTGCCACCATATTTTGGTGCTGGGCTGTTACAAAGGCGTGTTCGTTTCTGAATTCCACCACCACAGGTGACAGTGCAAGAATCCCATGGTGACCAGATACCCCAGTTTCCATCAACTGAAAAATTGAGACAAAACAGAATTTGAATGATTTGAGGATTATGCACAAGCCAAAGTGCACAATGCTAGGTTTCATTTTTCAGCTCTAACTTGGATTAATGATTGATAAAGTATTTTTGTGCAAACAGATGAAATCCTATCTAAATCCCAAACTGTTCCTACGTTCTTTAAATATTACATGGTTCCACATATATGTTTTAGCTTTGGATATGTTAAAAAGTATAATCTACTGACTAAAATTAATTACATTTTGCCCTTTCTTAAATAAGGCAAACTCTGATACATAAAACAAACAGTTGTAGTCCTGCTGTAAACCATTGTAAACTGCTTGCTATTTACAAGCAGATTTTCTCTCCTTTGTTTAATGATTATTTACCTGGACAGGGCTTCTGTTCGCATTTCTCATTTTCTCTCTTCTCTCCTGTGCAGTCTTTACCACCCATTTGTGGCATTGGAGAGTTACACAGGCGGATTCGAGTGATGACTCCAGATCCACAGGTAACTGAGCATGAGGACCAAGGGGACCAATAACTCCAACTACCATCTTGCTTGACTGGAAAAGAGAGTAGTTTTAAAACCACCGTGTCAGTATTTTGCTTTGTGGACTCTGCACAATAGACTGTTCGACTACAAATGACAGACTCATGAATTAAGCCAGCATGTAAAATATTTGTACATTGATAAATATATAACACAGTCTCTTTGATGCAGTGGCATATCTGCTTTTAAGCCACATTACTATTTATGTTGCCTTTTTCCTCATCTATGGTGTGGAGAAGTTAGTGGAATGGAGTCATGTTGACTTGGTTAACTTGGTAGAACAGGAATTTCTTTGAATTGGCTCTGTTTCATATTGCTGTGTGAAACTAATAGAAATATAATTTGTACATGCAAAGGCAGGTACCACAGTGTATATAATGAAACATTCCTATTGTCTTTGTACATGTGACTATGTGGGGTGGGGAGAGGGGAAAAACACTTACATCTCTTGTCACACTCTTCCAAATGACAACTGCGAGTCTGAACAGAAGTCCCATAACAGTCGCTATTAATCCGATCACAAGAGCGGCCCCGCTGTTGTGTTCCAATGCCACAAGTGACAGAACAGTGTGTCCATTCAGACCATGGAGACCAGCCAGCTTCAGATTCATTTAGAATTGCTGTAGGAAATTATACATATGTCAGCAAGAGTTGAGAAATCAATGAGATATTTTTATATCTTTTAATCTGGATTTTTTAAATTACAAACAATGCTTTACTAACCCTATCCTTACCCTATCAGTATTACAGAGTTTGTACATGTTTTCATGAAAAGTATTTGCTTCAGGCAAAGGTTAACATCTATAGATACTCTTATGGTTAGGTTGGCTATCTTTATGTCTATAGACTTTCAAACCTCATCTTTCTTAATTTGTGACGAAAGACAAAACCACATGAAAAACATTAAGGAATGTCCAATCTTTTAGCTCCATTTTTGGCAGCCAAAATAAGCAACCTTCCAAATAAATTATGATTCTGCAAAATGTAGAATTATTTCAGAAGGGAAGTTTGCTCTGAATATTTGGGGCTTGTAAATTTTGCATCTGACTTTAATACTGAATGCTGTTGGGGTCTTTTAGGGAAGCCATTCTCCAATTATGTACATGTTACTCTTCAGAAATGATTCCAAAACATTTGATCTCAAAAAAATATTTAGTATAATGGATGTATTTATATTTGATAACCCTGTAATCCTCTAGAAATTGTGTATCTTTTGATTGCTTAATTTCACTGGTATCTGCTAATAAGGATTTCTGTTTTTATACATGATATATAAATTGACATAGGATTGCCAACCATCATTGAAAAGCAATCATTCTTCAGTGGTGTCTCACAGTGGAATACCTTATTCCCTACGAATGCTCATACTGCATTCTTATGTGTCTAACTCATCAGATAACGTTATCAGTTATAATTTAGATTGATGTCATTAGTACATACATGGGCATCGAGCACAGCACTCTCCGTCTGGAACCACAGCGTTAGCACAGGATACAGTAGGGCATGATATCCTTTGGCAAGTGGTAACCGCTGACTGAAAAGAAAAGTAAAGATGAGACAAGGCTTTGGACACATAACCGATAGTCATTCATTGAGCACCTTGTTAAAAACGATACGGTCTCTACAAGCTGATAGAAGTATCAAACTTATTGTTCGTTCAAAAAGATTTACAAATGTTTCCACAGCTGGCAGTATCTTTCAGATTGATAGTGTTTATGTACTATTCACACTCACTTTCCATGAACTTTCTTTGAGAATTCTCTATTCGACAACATTTAGTCAACAATTGCTGTTCTTAACAAAAGTAACAGTGTCTTAAACTGGTACCATGCTACATTTAAACTAAAAACAAAACTAAATTCTGAATCTTAAGTGTTGCATTTTGTAATTAATCTACTTGCAATTTATAATAATGGATTTGAATAAAGTGTTTCAAGCTTTTACCCCACAGCTGCATTCTGTGCAGTTATCCACTTTCCAATGGTCTTTATCTTTGTAGAGCATCTGATTGTGGAGACATCCCCCTATCTGTTTGATTCCAATCGTACTAGCGATGAGTTCATTTTCTGCAGTCTGGGAAAAGGTGAAGGCATGATAGTTCATTATGACACACACAAACCACTCTCGAGCTTTAAAGGTAACTATTGAAACACCTAAAATGTTACTGTTTAACAGCTCTAGTTGACTTACCACTTTCTGGATGTTGTCAACCAGCTGAGTCACTAGCTTCCTGAGAGTTTTAAGTTCACTGAACATGTTGGACAGTTCCTCGCACGAGATACCGCAGATGGTCTGAAGATCCTTGGTTTTGTGAGCAGAATAATGAGTTCTGCGAGCTGGCTTTTCAGACCCTTCAATTGGTAAAGTAACAGTCCCACGAGTGGCTAGAAAACAGAGAGGCCACATTCAGCAATTGTTCAACAGAGCAATATATTTTCTCAACACGTTAGCTAAGCTCTCACCAGTAAATATCTTTGAGCTGAGATTCAAACTCCAAGAGCAGGGGAAGCACATGACTTTATGGATTCATCTTTGCTTATGAAAATTTACTGGAATAATAAATATTTATATATTTATCAGTTACCCTATCATAGTATAGAGCAAACTGTTTTATTACTGAGGTAGCAGAACTAGAGCTCAGTTGCTGAACACCTTTATGGAACTAACCAAAATGAGCAAAAGTTGCCTTGCCAGCCACTAAACTTGTCGTTATAGTTGAAAGGCTGTGATGTCTGTGAGGCTCCACTTCTCGAATGTTTGAAGTGGCTTCACTGACTTGCGAGCGTGTTTTTTTTTATTAGATTTGCATGATCCAGTTTAATTTGAAACTCTTTAATTAAAAAATGTCACTACTGTAATTGAACGTCTTGTTGCCTGAGAGGAATGTTGGCAGAATGTGTGTGGGACACGTTCGCTTCGGAGTCTGCGCTCTGGGTCCAGTACTCACATCTGTAGCAGCCCTTGTTGAGAAGGATGGTTTCCAAATTGGTTCCAAACACGAAGCGCACATTCTGCAGGAGTCCCTGTGTCACAGAAAGAATACGTACCATTGGTCTAAGCTACTTCGCCTGTTAATATGTTATATTTCATTTAATATTGTTAGCATTAATGTATTTACAGCTTAATATTTATTGCAGGAAAAAACGCTGTTACGAAAACCATAACGGTACTCTTTTTTTTTTTTGTATGCATTTACTTCTCGGTCCACAGCTGATTTAAGAGTTTTTGGCAACTGGGCTACAACTTGGAAAGAGTTTTTTTCCTCTCTCAATTTTCCATTCTTATCCCTTAAATATCAACATACATGCTCAACCATCCAGACGCCCTTTCCGAGCAAAGCCATTCGCACACACGCCACCCCTACACACCTGGAAGTTGTTGGAAAGACCTGTTCCACCTTTGGCCAGCCTGAGTTTGTAGTTGCCAGACTTCAGGACCTTGTAGATGACTTCCTCCAGCTCCACTTGGTTGATCTTCTCACAGCCCACGTAGAGGGTGGCCACATCCTCCTGCACGAACAGCGTGAGGTTCTTCCAGTGGAAAGTGGCCAGGTGGGCATCGGTGATGGACACCATGCTCTGTTTACCTTCAATGGTGATCGTCAGGTCGAGGGTGTTGGCTTTTCCGTTCGACATGATCTCGAAAACGCGCCTGCCTTCCAGGGTGTCGATGGCCACCAGGGTTCCCCGGCTCTTCTTCATCTGGCGCAGAGTGGCCAGGAAGATGAACCCCTTCTCTTGGTGAACGTGATCGATGAGGTCGCTGTAGCTGTCGGGTGAGGCGGGTTGGATGGCGTCAGCGTCCAGGATCCTGTAGGCTGGGCTGCTGCGCTCTGGTCCTTTGATCATTTGCACTCCAGGATTCCTGCGAGTGAGTCCGGTGATATCAAAGAGGTCGAAAACCCCATCCGCTCCGGATTCTGCAGAGTTAAAGGAGTGGGTGGTGGGTGGATGGGTGGGGAGGGGGTGGGTGGATGGGTGGGGAGGGGGTGGGTGGTGGGTGGGGGGCGACAATACACCTTTTAACGTTGGATCTTGAACGAAATCATTAAGACATTTGACCGATGCGAGTACTTAAAAGGCAAAGCAAATACCTGGTCCTCTTTCGCTTATCGCCAACAGTAACAGAGCACATATATATATTATATATATATATACACATATATCTATTATATCTATACTCACACTCACACACAAAAACACACACCACATCAGGAGGGGAGGGGGGGAGGAAAAAAACACAACTCACCTTGTATCCTCATGGTTGAGCAGACAGCAATCATTACAAGTAGAAAGAGTCCTTGTGGTAAATTCATTTTTAAAGTAATTTTAACGACCTGTTTTTTTTTCAAAAGAAAAAAAGAAGACATTAAGTTGATGGAATTTCCAAGTCGCCCAAACAAAGCGAACTGCGGCTTCTCGGTTATCACAGTCGCAACAGATAATAAATCATAACTCACTAACCGGCACAGAAGTTTTTCAGTCTGTCCCCCGGAAAAAAAAACTCCTTCGTGTGAGTGAGTGAGTGAGAGAGAGAGAGAGAGAGAGAGGGAGAGAGGAAGAAAGTGGCAATGAAATTCCTGAAGCTGCTGAGTGAGCCCTTCGACAGATCTCGTTTAACTTCTTTTTTCTCTCTCTCTCTCTCTCTCTCTCTCTGTCTTTCTCTCTCTCTCTCTCTCCTCCGAAGAGCTGAGCCGTTAAAAGTATTTTTGTTTGTCCCCGACTGTGTTGCGAAGAAGCGAAGCGATGCAAAGCAAAGCAGCTCAGCTTGAAGCTGGAGAAGACGAGATGGATACTACAGAAGAACTGGATTCCCATCTCCTTTAAATACCCTCTCACATTCCTCAGCCTCACTCTCTGCCAATCACCACCGGCCCTGGAAGGAAACGGGGTTGTGTTTATTCAGTTACCTCACAACAAGAGGGATACAGTTCCAGAGCAGTCACAACCCACAGCAAGAAAAGCAATTAGGCGGATTCCAATGGCCATCAGCCAAAATACTCAAATATTATTGCAGAGGTACGAGCCAGGCTCGGCTTTCTGTTCAATAGATCCATCTGCAGTCGTCAATATTTTTTTCCCATTAGTCGGACAGAAAACGTTCAGTGCGTTCCGTTTGATAAAACTTTGGTAAATGTTTTAAAAGTGTACTTTTTAAAAAAAAAGTGATTTCCACAGTGGGTGGGTGGTTGGGTGAGTGGGTGGGGGGGATGTAAATACAGGTAGAACAATGATTTGAAGAAATGTATTAAAAAGGCATATATAAAACGAGACGCTTCAACGTTAATGAGAGATGCTTCAAGAATTCGGGTGGTGAAGTGTCGGATAACGTTTATGTATATAGATGAGGTGAGGTGAGAGCGCATTTTCCAACGAAGTTTGCGAAATGCACTTGTCAAGTTCCCCACCGGGGGGAGTTGTGTGGATTGGTTTTGGGTGGAAATGTGACCGAGTCAAGTCTGAAATGTCTGTCTTCGGGTCTGTGAGTCTGTCTTACGCCTCGAGCATTTCAAATCACCACAGATTTTATATCTGACACTTCTCATGCGAACTCAAGACACGGTGAACAAGTGTTGTTTTGCTTCTTGTAACACTCGTAACACAGAAGGTCGAAGCTACATATGTTGTACGTCGTGTTAAGAGAAGCAACAATCCAGCTTAAAATCAAACTTTGCAAACTTTAGTTTGGTTTAAACTAGTGTACTGAAACAAAGTATTTCCTAAGACCCTTCTATATACACGTATATATATATATATGTGTGTGTGTAAGTTAAACATATACAACTTTGTGCTTTTTTATTATATTCTACTTAGACTTTCCATTCGTGCTTTACGTCACTGGAAAAGAATTTGTTCAGGAAATAGTTTTTTTTTTGACGTCGGTGCATTCTTTCTCTTTTTTTCTTGCTAAAGATCCGCTTGATTGGGGATTGACTGAGTGCAACAGTCTGCAAGTTTAATGCTCTGACCCATTGCCCTTGACTCAGACAGACAGAACACTTCACTGAAGTCATTTCTTCCTTGAATAATAGCCCAACCTACAGCTAGATGTTAAGTATATATGATCAACGTTGTGGGTATTCACTCTGTCAATGCATGATTTAAACAAGGATTAGGGAACAACGTGCGGTGCTTACAAATGATAGGCATATTTGCAGCACGATTTAAACCACTGTCCTGTCCTACTTAACCCGGTGAAAAGGTTAAAATCCCGAATTGATAGCAAAGAAAGTCGAGGTTGCACTTTCTGTTGAGGAGTAAGTGTGAGAAAGGCAGAGAGGACTTCTGTGAGTGACACTGTTCTCAACCCAAATCTACATTCCACTCTCGCCTTGCACTTCACCTTAGCGTACTGTGCCCCCTTCCTAATGTGTTAATGTACACTTCTTCACCCTGCCCCCCCCCCCCCCCCCCCCCGGTCAACAGACCCCCCACCCCTTTCTCAATGCTCCCTTTCTGATTTTGTTTCCCTCATAATATGCTGGTAACCTTCCCCCTCCCTTACCTTGACAACAATCCACCAGATTAGTTAGTCATTCACCGCATGAGTGCCTGTATGGGAGTTTTTACAGGCACACATGGCTAGAAAAGAGATCAGTTACTACACTTGAAAGGAAATGCTTGGGACGTGCCTTAAAATAGTTTTAGGTCCTTAAAAAAAAGGACTGGCTCAATACCTTCTTGGTGACTTGTTCCTGTACCCTGGAAATAAACAACCTAATTGAAAACACATGTGCCCCTGCCTCTCAGGTGAGTTAAATATCTAATCAAAGAAAAGGGAGAAAAGAGTGGCTTAGATCTGGCGGAAAGGGCAGATAGTGCACAGCTCCCAGGGGGTAGAAACACCCACAGGTTGGGTGTGGAAGCGACAGACCAAGCCATTTTCATGAGTCCTAACATGATGACAGAGGATCACAGACATCACTGTCTCAGTGAGTAAAAATACACCTTAATGAGTGACACTGAGCTACGCACAAACCTTAGTCTGTGCTTGGTTAGATTACTTCAGGAAGGAGAGAGGTTCAACTGGCCTCAGTGATCCAGGTTTGAGATGGGGAAAAATTGGCCAGGGTTCCTAGCCATAAACTCTGGCCATTGAGTCCTTTCGAGGAGATACCTTTGTGCGGATATCAGGTGAAGGCAGAAAAGGTTGCAAGAATGAAAAGATAGAGACTGTGCTCTCAGGGAAGAGCTATTGGCAAGGAACAAGTCTTAGTGATAAGTTATGATCAGCAGGTGAGTGATATCAACGGTGATGCACATTCAAATATGTTGTTATGAACTTGTTTATAACTCCCAATGGCTAATAAGGAGCTAACGTGCGGGAGTGTTGGGGAGGAAGTCAGACAGACTAACTAACTAACTTGCCCACGCATACTCCTGGGGTCAGGCTGTCAGACAGACACACTGCTTGTTGATCTCGTTCCCCAGCCAGTCCTGTTATCAGTCAGTGGGTAAAACTGGAGCAGCAAAAGTAGCATTTCCGCTCAGCCCCTGAGAAGCTGCAGTGGGGAAAACGCATTCCAAACATTGCAGGGAGTCAGTCTGGTAACGTGTGTGTCTGCGCTCCTCTCCACCGCAGGTATTTGCCTTTCTCAAAGCCAAAGGTGTGTGGAAGGAAACAGAAAGTCGGTGAGGAGCGCCACTCGCTCACGATCCGTGGCTTTGCTCACTCCGGATCTGAGCCATGAGTTTGCACTCTCACTCTCACTGCTCCCGAAGTCAAATCATCTTTGCAAAGAATGAAGTGCATCGAGAGAAGGAGGAAGGGTCGCCCTCGATTCCTCACTGTTTAGGGTTGACTGATCGTCATTCATCCCCACCCCACCACCATCGTTAACACTTTATTTCTCCCCCCCCCCCACTCCACCCCATCCCCCGAGTTAACACTCAATGTCCCGGACCAGACCTTGCACGAATATGAAACAGCGCAGGCAACTCACAACTGTAAACCTTCTAAGTGTCCTGAGCGTCGACAGGAGCCCATCCGTATCCCATCCTCGGGAATAAGCCCTGACTATTGTGCATCATTCCCGAACTGGAAGGATTATTTCTCTAGAATTCAGAGTGGAAAATAATAATAAAAAAAATCATACCAGACCAATTTGGAGTCTCGGGGGTGGGGTTGGGGGGGGGTGGGGGGGGTGGTCTGACTAATTATAGTTAAAATTTATGTTTTTTTGCTATGGGCAGAAAGCCCTTTTTTTTGAATTAAAAATAAGAAGTGAATATTGGATTTTTAAAAAAAAATGTAAGCCAAAAGGTCAGGCGGGGACGAGGTTTAATTGCTGCCTGAACTCACTCACTCACACACACACACACACACAAGCGCTTAGTCTGTGTCTGGGGGGAAAGACCATTACTCAACAGGAGCTTCTGCTCTGCTCCTGTTGTTGCAGCTCTCAGCCATCGCTATTGCAGGTCTGAGATGCGCCATGAACGTGTGGCTCCATTTCCACTGCGTAACTAAGACCTGGGTTCATGTCTCGCAGGCGTAAAAGAAGAACCCAACCCATTCCTTCATCGAGTAACTTGTACCAAAGAGACGCCTCTTTGACCGCCACCGTTCTCTTTGACCGAGCCTTCAGCTCCCCTCTCGACTCTCTTCCCCCTTCTCGCTCCCTCCCATCCCTCCCCTCACCCTGACCATTTCCCCCCTCCTCGCTCCCTCCCCCTGACCATTTCCCCCCTGCTCGGGTCATGACCCAACTGTGCAGCGCCTTGGGACGTCCTCCTGACGTGAAAGGTGCTTTATAAATGGAATCTTGTTGTTGTTGTTGCCTCTTCCCTACATGTTTTTCCACCCCTAACCTTTCTCGGCGATGATTCATTACTGGAAACGCTTCCAAGGGTGTGTGTGTGTGACTGACTGACTGAGTGAGTGATGTGCGTGGCTCCCCAGGAGTATTGTTTATTTCGCGTGAGCCTCGGTAAGCGAGAGTGCACAGGTATTTGCACAGGTATTTGCCAAGGCGAAGGGTGGAAGAGGCAGCAGTCGAGCCTGATCCTGCCCACCTCACCTGACGTCCATCCCATCTACACGTTGTAAATGTTTTCAGCCACTTGCGTGGTAGGTTGCACGATCAGGAATGGGAGTCCCTTGGCTGATTCTTTCTCCCACTCTTTCGTGTTAGCCTGGGGATATAATGAGGCCAATTCCACCAACGCCCTGATGCTGCCCTGGCACATGACAACTTAACTTTTTTTTTTAAGAAATGCATTTTCAAAGAAATAACACGTCTGGTTGTATTGGAATTCATATCACCCTGCAAGTTTGTGTAACGTGTTACTGTGGGTTATTGTAAAACCTGCTGTTACAGCATTTTGAAGTATCAATGCAGTACTTGTGGTTAATGATGAATAATGTCACTAACAACAGCCCTGTAGCGTATTGGTTAGAGCACTCGCCTCGCAAGTGAGAGGACCCGGGTTTGATTCCTGGGCAGGGCGAAACCTTAAAAGTTTCCTTACTCCACACTGTTTACCTAGCAGTAAGTCAGAACCGAGTTGTTAGTCAATTGGCAAATCGCTTTTCCGGGGGTGGTAATCCCTCAATATAAATTATAATAATTTGGTCACTCAACCCACAACTGTTTGTAGGACATCACTACTATAAAGTTAATTCACTTTACAGTATATTCTGTGAAGTACTTCGAGATGTCTCACCGACATAAGGTACTATATCAAATGCAAGAATTATTATTAATAGCACAGTGTGTTTGTCTATTTTTATTGAATACAGAATTTACTGCAGATCTAAATGAGAGCATTAACTTTGCCTTAATCCAACAGCTCTCTTTACTCACTTAGCAGTAAAGAGTGCTTGCTGTAATCATAATTATGTTGAATCTAAAGCAGAAACACAGAAATATTGTAAATAATACAAAG